AAATGTATCCTTGCATGTCCTTCTAAAAAAACTCTAAAGCAAAGAAAATATTAAGTCAATATTATACTAAATAAAATGTTTTTGCTGTCACTGTATGTCTATTATTCTGAAACAGGACAACTTACTATTTGTATTTCTCTGTTATATGACATTTGAACCCAAGCTCAAAGGTGTGTGGTGCTGAGGCTGGAACTAGGTCTTATAAGCGCTTTCAGACAGTTTTTACCTTATCTGAGTCTGTTTTTTGGAGCGGATTACATCAATGTGAACCCAAAACAGACCAGAGAACCATATAGCACAATTACAACTGCTGGTCTCACCTCGGTTTTCCAAAAACATTGAACCTTTGCAGTATGAATGCCTGCTGTCCCTGTCAGTGTCCCAAAGTCTGAGAGAGACTGTGATAAAACAAGGCTTTCCTTTTCTAGCTACTGTGTTAGCAAAAGTGCAATCTTTATGAATATAATTTGATAAACCTTTACAACTTTTAAAATGTTTTGATATAGTTCGGGGAATATCTAAACAGGAAGGAGTGGTAGTAGTGCATATCACCAGTTTATAAATTACCACACTTTGTTTTTCTTTCAGAGTCTTTGACCAGAGATGGTTTTGAATGTTGGGTTCTCAGGAAGCTCTTAACAAAAAGGAATACCGTTTAGATAAACCTCTCAGGTTTTTGAGACTGAAGTTGTTTTTAGATGGTCTTCTTGAGCTTGCTTGGCCATTTATGTGTGCAAACTCAGAGGACAATTTCTGGATTCCTTTATCACTAAATACTGCCTATCCTTTTAATTGAGACCCAAAAACTGATTCTCTGCCCTCTCCTAAGATTTGGTTTAGCCAAAAGGTTGGTTAAAAGCTGCTCTGGGTGGGTAAACTGAACTGGTATGACATTAAGGAACCATGGATGCAAAATAGTCAAAGCAGCAGAGATGTATCCCATGAGTAATGTGGCCATAAATAGGTTCTCTTGTCTTTTTTGTTTACACAAAGGCGAGAGGGGGGAAGAGAGTGGAGGTTAAATCTTGCAGGTGTTTGCACAAAACTAAGAGATGTAGTCTTTGTGTGTCATAATTCATAAAATTATTTATTAAACAAACTAATAACTCAAAAACTGAGAAGTAATTCTACTCATTCGCTGTCTTAACAGCACAGTCACAGTGAAAACAGACATGATAGAGCACAGTATAAGAAATAAATACATTTCATCACTATATTGCAGGATATTGAAATTTAGGTGAGTGTTCAACAGGGAACAAATCAAGAACAGGACAGAGAGGAAAAGAGAGGGAGACAGACAGCTGAAAGACATACGCATATTTCAATATTAATCACCTCAGTAATATTTTAACAGCTTCTAAAAATCCAATCCTGAGTATATTGCTTCTGACTATTAAAAATGATTGTCTGCACCCCGCTTCTTGTCTTCAGAGAACTGAGTTAGTGACCCAAGCTAACTTAATTGCACTAATTTACTCCAAAAGACCCTGCTCAGCTACTTTTTACCTCCTTCTAAAAATTTATATATATATTTTCCCAGCCCTGAGCCACATTCAATTTCCCACCAAATCCAAGACATCCTTTAGTAACCATCTTGAAATGGGTTTATTGTTGACCTTCTCCGGGCTGGAAGGATCAGGTTGCATGATCCCCACATTACTAGACTGGTGGCGGAGAGAGAGGTTGAGGAGAAGGTGATTGATGAAAAGGGATTCATCAATACTGTATGGACACCTCTTCCTATTGCCATCACCATGTCACCAATTAAATTTTCTGCCTGTCAGACAGGTGACAAATAGCTCAAATATAATATTTACAAAAACTGAACCATATAGATGTTTCTGAAAAGATATGTGATCACAGATTACCAATAAACTGAGAGAAATCAAAGATGCCTCTGTAGCAGTGTTTACCTTATACACAGCTTCCTGGGATTTGATGCATAAATGAATCTATATGGTGTCAAAATTTTCTGATGCTCAGTCGTAATAGATTTTATTACAATGATTAGTTTTAGGGGTAATACCCATCTATTTTCTAGATTTGTTTTTTGTGGGTGATGCTGATTCCTCTAGCTACCATCAGCAGACAAAATTCATGGGTAAAACCTGGACAGGTAATCACATCATAACAGGGCAACACAGAAACCTACAAGATAAGTAACCTTGCATGTACCTACCCCTATCCTCCGAAAACTAGCTTCGCATAAGCAAGAAATATGTTTTCCAAATATAATCATAGATATAATTTTGCATTTTTAAGCTGGTAAGATGTTAGGCTGTTTTAAATTTTATTTAGATCTAAGACCCTAAATATTAAAATGTCTCTAATACTGTAGTAAACAACTCTTCTGACAACTCTAGGTTAAATATATATTTACTGACCTACATGGGGGCTTGTCGCTGACCTTTAGCACAACTTAAACTGTTTGTTCTTGCACCATGAGTCAATATCTACTGTTTTTAATTGTGTATGATAGATGAACTCAATTGGATAGCACTGGATTTGACCTACAACTTTGCTTTTATTCCTAACTTTAACAGCTACACTAACCCATGTGCCTCATAGTAAGTACAGCCAAGTCTAGTAAGCTATGGATATGCATTGTCTTATACAGTAGGGGCTTGCATTAAATACATAACAAGGAAATATTGATTTTAGTTGCTTCTGGAGTAATTCAGCTTCAGTATAGTGATTTTTTTTGGTACATTACTAGTAAAAGTTAAATATTTTGAAATAAATTCTTTTGATTAGCTAAACCACTGGGTGAACAAATGCACATTTGAGACTCAGCAAAATACAATTTATGACCAGATGATGAGTCTGTGTGAGACTTTATAAGAACTACAATCAAAGTTAATACTCTTAAATAAACAGAATCAATAATTATATTTAAAACATTTTATAACTTTTTGAAATGAAAAAAAAAAAATCCCAAAAAACAATAATTTTTTGGAGAGTATTAAGTGTTGCTGTACCAGAAGATGATTCTCTATATCTCTTTGAGTACATGGAACTATCTAAGTAAATTTTTCCTTTAGCTTTGCTACGTTTTAGTAACTTATGTAACTATTTCTTAGCTATAAACCCAGATGTCTACCCAACTAATATCTGTACATATTGTCAAACTACCAAACTACTCTCCAACTTCTTACCATGGATAGATGGGAGGACAAATATGTTTTTCTATCTGTGATTTATTTCCCATTATATATTATAGATTATTATTAAATGCATTTTAATTCTGAAACCCTAGATAAAAATCTGGATTACTTAAGTATAGCCATGTTTAACTCAATAGAAAGTGCAGCTAAGTATTATAGATGTTTTGTTTAGATGCTTTTGGTGAATATCAGCTGCAAAAAATAAATAAAACAAAAATTGACTTAAAATCACTGGAGAGTAATTTTCCTTTTATTTATTTATCACCAGGTATAACAGAAAAATATCTGATAACCACATACAGATGTTGGTCACACCATAATGTTTTACAACTCCACCTTAGTTAGTGAACCTTTTTGGTTTTGCTTTATTTTAACATTGGTCATCTCGTTATTAAATGTTGCCCTAAAAACTGCAGGAAAAGATTCCGCATTAAAATAAAATAAAAAAAAACCTTTGACGACTAATGGTGTAAATACTCTTTGGTCTGCAGTCCACACATAGTATGTGAGCAGAGATGTTTGTTTACTCCAGTGTTCAGGCACCAGTTTAAGATTTTAGCTGAGAGGGTACATTGTCTGGGGCAGGGTGTCTCACTAATGAGGCTGTATAGCTGTGGGATGCGAGTCACACACAGACAATGGTCTAGGGACCATTTAGCGTCTCCTCTCCATTCCTCACACATCACGCAGAGGCAGCTTTGACTCAGTCACCACCATCCCATGTCCTCTCTTTGCCTGGTACACAAAAGATGAGAACATTCTCCTCTGTCTGGCAGAACAGTATCAAACATTTGTTGCTTGCAGAGACATTTTCCTCTGACAGGTAAATATTGAGCAAACAATATCAGCTCATAGGATGATTATTTAATAGAGATATTCATATTGGCTTAAAATAATAATATCAACATACATATGACAGGATATTTTATATACTCAATGTTTTGAATGATAAATAAAGTTTTTTAATGTTAAATAACTCCTGATAGGAAAGGAAAATCTAGATAGTGATACAACAGAGAGAGACAGAGACAGGGGAGGGGTGAGGAGGAGAGATCTAACAGGTGTAGAGAAGGACTGCTGCTGGACCAAACGCCTCGATCAGCGCTACAGTGGACAGACAGCGTGGAGGGGAGCGTCTGGATGCACAGCGCTTCTCATTTGGAAAAAAAAAAATCTGAAAGTTTTCCCGTGGATCATTTCTCACCTTAATTATCATAGAAGTCGCTGAAGTTTGGACTTTATTTAAAAAATAAAAAAGCGGGGAGAACTCCGCTCTGATTAGGAAACTGTTAATTACCCGGAAACTCCTGCGCGCCTTGGTTTATCAGCCTATCATTGGACGCGCCAGAGATCATTTTGCTGAAACAGGTGAGAAAAAGCTTATATCTTACCTCCAATTTCGATATATTTAACTATTTATTTTACACTACAGAGATGCATCTAAATAATACGCTCACCTTATAAAAAATATTTGTAGTTCTCTTTTTAAATTACGCATATATTTGATTTAAGTAATTTACAGGGAATAACGGTAAAATTAATAAGTTTATTCATTCTTTTTTATTATCCTTTTCAGATCCATACAAAGACGCAGGAGGAATCAACTTTAAAAGAATCTGTTGATTCAAGGCACCAACTTCATTATTTCTGGCAGAAAACAGAGCTGTCCACGGATCATCCTGCCTGGAGAGATATCTGGTGACCTTTTTCTGTCTCAGCTATGGCATTAAATGAGACATCTACATGAAGTGCTCTGGTATCTAGGAGAAACCTTAAAGGACATCTTTGTACTTTATCTGAGAAAGTCATTTTGTCCCCCCCCCCCCCCCCCCCCCCCCCCCCCCTCTCCTTTTGTGGTGTGGACTTTCATGACAAACTGTTGAGACTTTGATCCATCAGAAGAATACCAAATTTTTTAGTTTTTGTTTTGTTGTAATGGTGAGACAGCAGGACAAAAAAATAAATAAATATTAAGATAGATATATTGATGTGAGATAACTGGACAATTCTTAAAAGGGAATCTTAATCTCCCTAAATGATTTTCCGTTCTTGGCTAACATTTTTTCTTGTAATATTTGAACAACCAATGCTCTAATACCTCCTACATCTCCCCCCCTCAACGTCTCTTCTCCATTTTTCCTTCCAAACTGTTACCTGGAGAGGCTTCATCGTGGCCGGCACTATTCCAGCCAAGGGGGAGGAGGACTTCCTCACACTGGCCGCCTCTCGGCTTAGCCGCAGGAAACGTGTGATTATAGCTGCTGTTGGCGTGGCCATGGTTCTGATTCTGTTGGTTGCTATTCCCCTTCTTGTTCACACAACCAAAGGTGGCAGCGCTGGGGGAACAGGGAACCATTATGAAATGCTTGGAAGCTGCAGGATGGTGTGTGATCCTTACGCTACTTCTCAACCTGGTCAGGAATTGATAGCTGTGTCTTCGCCCCCCCAGGAATACTCTGGAAAGAAGATAAGGTCTGGGCTTCGAGGGCCTCCTGGGAACCCAGGTCCTCCAGGAGAACGCGGGCCCCCGGGGGAGCCAGGGAAACCGGGGCCGCAGGGGCCCCCCGGTCCTGGTCCGGGGGGTTATTCTCCCTCCATCTACACCCCTAAAATTGCCTTTTATGCAGGGCTACGCAAGCAGCACGAGGGCAGCGAAATACTGAAATTTGATGACGTGGTCACCAATGTTGGTAATTACTATGAGCCCAGCACCGGAAAGTTCACCTGCCCTCTGCCTGGCATCTATTTTTTCACCTACCATGTACTAATGAGGGGTGGTGATGGCACTAGCATGTGGGCAGACCTGAAGAAGAATGGACTGGTTAGTAGAAATGTGTGTGTGTGCATGTGTGTGTTAAATAGAGAGTCTGTATGTAAATGCAACACAAGAATGCACCACAGATACTTTTTGTTTTGTTGGCTATCCTGTCTCATATTCATCCCCACAACATTGAGCTCTTTAGATTCAGAGCACAATCCACTTAGCAAGTGGCAACATGACAAGCAAAGAATGAAAAGGCAACCCTTCTCCTCATTAAAGAAGTGGACATGCTATATAGTCTTAAAATCTCAGCCTTCACATATTTGCATTCCCACATGTATTTTGGTTAAATGACAAGTGGCAGGATGCAGGCGAAAATACCAGACTAATTATTAGGATTCCCACACATAGCTTGATTATCGCCTAAAGAGAAGTGCAAAAGAGCACAGGAGACATGTCTGTTAGAATGTGAACAGTTAGGTTTGCACCTCAGCTTAAGAAATAATGAATTTAAAATCGACAGTCCACTCATCCACTTCCTCATTCCCCAGACTCTAATTAAATGTAGGGGTAGTGTTAGGAAGGAGACATGGAGATCATAGGGATTTCATCAGAGAAGTCCAGGTTCTGAGAACATTCTTCCCATTGCTTTGTTTCATTCAATCATTATTTCACTGATTCATTCATTCATTTGTGAAGGACTATAAACGTAAATGGGTTTCTGCTCAAACCTTACTTCGCAGACATGAGGTGTATTAAGCATAACTTCACAGCGTCATATGAAGCAAAACGTAAAAGTTGATTCTGGATTGAAAATCCATTTGATCACAAACATGAAGGTGTGTTTAATTCTAATGCTCCGCATTGTCATTCAAGTCATTTTAGCCTGTTAAATAATTAATTCATCTTGGATTAGATCCCCCTCCCTCGAACCACGGCTGTACCTTCCTTTCCTAACCTCATCCTGACTTGTTCATTGATTCTCCATTAATTATCTTTCACTCACCTCAATTATTTAACCTCACCCAGGTCCCTGTGACACCCGTCAGGTGGCTTCTTTAAACATTTCTGGCAAACTAAGTGCACGCATAACAGGTATGGGTCCAAGAAGAACTGCAGGTGGATGGATATAGAGAACTAACACAATTCTGCAGAATTCATGATCATGTTTGAAGTTATTAAAGCCTGGAGGCAGTTGGGTGCCATGCTCGAGGCCAGTCGGTGGCTTGGGTTAAGTAAATCAGGGGTGTGCTTGACAGGTTGCATTCCTGACTGTGGAATCAAAGAGGCATGTTTTAACCATTGCCGTAGGTGCTCCTGCTTTATTGGATATTGTCTCTTGCTGTTTCTTTCAAAATATTACCACAGGCATAATTTTGCTGTTTGCCTTTTCATCCCCTGCTGTAAAATATTTGCGCCTTCACAAGTTAGGTCATTTTATTTCAGCTCTAATTTAAGTTCCCAAATTGAATCCAAATAGCTTCTGCTACAATAATGACATGCCAAGGTGTCTATCTGACGGTACTGAAAGGGAGAATAGGAGAAGAAGAGTGAGCTGATGGCCCTGGGTGGGGCAGGAGACGATAGATGACTTAATGGAGGTTTGGAGACAATGGGCTGGTAGACGAGGCATCTGGGAGGCTGGGTTTGAAGGCCAGTATGAGATCAGGCAGGATGACCGATGTACACCCACTCAACACACAGCTGCTTGACAAGTGATCAAGGTTGACTAAAAAAAGGAGTAGAGGAAAGTTATATTCTAAGGTGTTTACAAGAAGAACAAGTATAAGATGCAGTAAAAGCAGCGTAAGCCTTTTTCTGATCAAATCAAATAAAAAAAATCCCATGTTCAGTCTAAATACTAAACAATGTTCAACATTTTTTTGCTCTTTGATCAGAGATTAATGTACAAAAAATCAATACATAGTGGAAAAATCAAATGAGTTAAAAAATAAAAATAAAAATTGACAGCTCCCAACTAAAATTCGAGATTTGCAGAAAAATTCTCCCCCACTTGGGACAAGCATGTAAAGAAAATGGATGGATGGACATTTATTTTTCTTTTATTATTTGTATTTTGTCCTTTAAAGCAATAAGTGCTCATGAAAATAATCCAGTCAAGGTAAGACTGGGTTTAGATGTAATCTAAACTTTCATTTTATGCTTTCTTATAGAAATTGTTCTCAAATTTTGCCCTAACAAATCTTTAGGCAGGTTTTTCAATGCAGAGGTCTGCCATGTCTAAATTATGTAAATTTTAAAACAATAGTAGGTAAAAAACAGCCCTGACTTGTAACTTGTACTCCAGCTTTAGATGGACCACAGTAAGGTTAGGTTAGATCTCTGCACTCCATGGAGGGGGCGGGGTCCCATTGGCTGTATACAAAAATAAGCATAGGAACACAGTGTTCCTGGCAAAAGAAAGATGACATAACATGTTTTTATGCGTACTGTAAGCCCCCCACCCCCAAGTGTTCACCACATCACGTATCATATTGATAACATTTAGGTTGCTATTTCGCGCAGGTTCTGCAATTGTTACAGAGTTTGGCACAAAGTTTGTAGATTCAATATCTATCACTTGCATGCTTTAAATCCCAGCTTCTCGATGTAACTTCCACAAATCACTGCACCATAACATTGCATCTGAGCAAGGGGGATTTCTTATCGAAGGGGGAAATCTTCAGCCGCCTCAGTGTCTGTAATTGACCTGTGAGTATCTGATTGACAGAAACATCCTGTTCTTCTTGGGCAGATTAACAACCCTGTACGTTCTCTGCTCAGCTAAGAACAAGAGGCAGTAGTTGATGGATGAATGTATTTCATTAGGACACCTAATGAGTCCATATGGATTTCACCTTTCTCAAAATAAATAGTTCTAAACATTTCTCATTTCCATAACTGATGGTATAAATGCATTTAATTACTCTGCCCCTAATGTCCTGTCAGAGATACATGACTTGTAAATGACTTAATATTCCAGGTTTTACCAGATGTTATTAAGACAGTGTGTGATGGTGTTGACATGCTTCTCAAGCTATGAAGAGTGGTAATGCGTCACATTTACCTTCTCAACTGCACATCCCACACTCTCCTCATTAGCAGAGCTGCTAATCCAGTTATTTATAATAATAAAATTCGCCTTTGAATATCTATATTAAACATTCTCAAGACAAGATGCTATGTAGACAAATAGATACTGGCTCTGCTCATTTAATCTGGTCCATGTGTTTTTCTTTCTTTTTTTTTTTTTTTACCTGTCACAGGTCTCTTTTAATAGCCATGCTAAAGGTCAAGTTATTTCACACAGTAATGTTAAAATGTCATCACTTGCTGTAATGACCAGTGCCAGGATTAACTTTCCCAGTATAGTTAGGCTGCAGGTGGAAATTAGTCTCAAAACGGATAAAATACACAGAGAACTGTAAGAAAGAAAATTATAATCTTTTGAATGTAACTACATGTACATCTGTGACTTTTAACTTCCCAAAAAGTTATTTCAGTTAGATCCATATACACAGGGAAGCATATTTCTAGTATTTTCTTTTTCATTTTCATCGTAAAATTATGGCTTCAAGTCAATGAAAGCATCAAATTAGAGCTGTGCAGTAAATCAATCCACAATCATGCCTGCACAACATATTAGCTTGTGCAAAATTGTAAAGTCCTAAACCAGACACCATTAGAAAGATTTTATCTGGGTTAAAACAAAGGACTGGAATGTGATATACATGTATATGGTTTTCTTTTTACATAATTGCAAATTATTGCATTTATTTGAAATTTGCGGTCCAGAGTTCTGAAACAGAGCAGAGAGGGAAATAATCCAAGCTGCTTGAACTCCAGTGTGAAATTTTAGTTAGTGATTTGGGAAGCCAAGTCATATGCTGCTGTTTTTCACTCTTTTTTATTGAGGCTAAAGTCAGGGAGCACTTCTACAAACAAATTTTAAAGCATGTCATGCCTCGTAAGGAGATGCTGAGTTATTTCTAATGCCAAAAGTACATATTTCTATCTCCATCATTTTCACTGGACAAGGAGTTGGCTAGACCCTATAGGGAATCTATGTAGTATTTTCAAAAGGGAAATAAGCACACATCCCATCAAACATGTAGAATAACTGAGGCTCAATGCATTCTGGGTTTCCTTAAAACCTTAGTAGTAGTACCAGTGGATTTGACCACCTTTTTGCATCCATCCATTGATCCAATAAACAATGCAAAAGTAATATATACTACATGAACCACTTTTAGTCGGTTCTCATTTCTGTAGATCATTATTTGCTGGTCTTATATAATATTTATTTAGCTTTCATCAGCTAAATAATAAGCTAAATACATATTGGACCTGGTATGACAAATACCATTATAGTTTTCCGCTTTATTATAAGAAATGACTAAAATAATAACTTGTTGAAATTATAGTTTAGTTCATTTAGACACATCACCTTTATATATAGTAAAATGGATAATATTCCTAAGTTGAACATGAGTTAAAAATCACAAATGCGTTGTCACTGAATGGCAGGTAATAGCTGTCTAAGGCATGGTTCGGTGCCTAAATCGCTTGTCACCTTGTAATCCCAGAGCTCCCAGTGGAGAGGAAAAGCCTATTTAATAAATATTCTATTTCCACAACATCACCTCATCCTCATCCCAAACCTCCTGCTATGTGCTTTGGTCCCTTAGGTAAGTTTAACGGCTACTTTTCTATTGTCTCCGCTTTAAGAGGTCAGTATATCACTGGGAATGAATCCTGTCAGTTTTATTACCAGTAGAGCCCAGCACTACGGATAACAACAATAACAACACTTCATACACCCCCACATCTCCCCGGTCTCACAAAACAGCTTTGCTTGACCAGGCTGTTACTCCAGGCCCCCCTTTATCAACTTTTTGGCCAATATTTTTCCCTCTGCCCTCCTCTAACACTTTGTTTTGTCTGTCCATGTCTGGGTTTTGTGCAGCAACTCTATTTTCGGTAGAAACAACCCGGCAGCTGCTCCTCATTCCTCCAACCTCCTCCTTTTCCCTTTCCTTTAGTCCGTGGTACTCTCCTCC